CCTCTGCTTCCTGAGTGCTGAAACTAAAAGCTTGGGTAACCACTGCCTGGCAAGAAGACATGGTTTTGATCTGATCCTTATTGATCTGTCTCTTAGTCTTTTGCTCCCTCAGAGACAGTTTCTGAGCCTTCCAGGGGCAGGGTGTGTGTGTGTGTGTGTGTGTGTGTGTGTGTGTGTGTGTGTGTGTGTAAGTCTACTTATTCTCTGCACCTAACATTGTGAGTTGTGTGTTAACCACCATCTGTTGCACAGAGAAACTTCTCTGATCAGGTCTGAGAGCTGCGCTTACCTGTGCATCTTCTCTATTTTAAAACAGCATCTGGTTTATAAAAAAGACTAGTGTCTGTTTTCAAGCCAGATGTACTTTCTAAGGCTGTATTTGGTAAGGTTGAGTTTCTGTAAAGATCTGAAAATCGGTGTACTAAGGAATGCAGGTGTTCCCTCTCACACAGCCACCATCTCATTTAGATGAGTGAGTGGGCCAGTGCTGCTCTATGAGGTCAGGGTACAGGTCTCATTCATCTTCCAGTTCTTCCAGCCCTGGGGCATAAAAATGGCGTGGCTTATCCTGGTTACCTACTCTGCCTACTTTCAGAGTCTTTAGAGATGACAGGGTGTAAGGTATACCCTATATCTTAAGTCTGAAAATCCCCCACACCTCTTTGGGTTCCTTCTTTTTCTGAGAAGTAGTCGTGTGACTGTAAACCTGAGTGTATTTGGCTACAAGATAGCTAGGTAGGTAGGAGGACAGGAAGGCAACCCGATGTCCATCTATCCGTTACTGCAACACAGTGTCGTCATCACCCACATCATCCTTGGTTATTGTTGTTTGAGACTTTGTCTCTGGGTAGCCCTGGCCGGTGTCAAGCTCACTATGTAGGCCAGGCTGGTCTCAAAGGCACGGAGATCTGCCTGCCTCTGCCTCCCAAGTGCTGAGATTAAAGGCAGGTACCAGTACACAGGGCCCAACAGAATATTTTGTTCATTTTCATTGTCAGTTCTTTCGCCGTAGCCTCAGGACTAACCTGTTCTTTCCTTTCCAGGCAGAGTTGGGCCTAAATGAGCACCATCAGAACGAGGTCATCAATTACATGCGTTTTGCTCGTTCAAAAAGAGGCTTGAGACTTAAAACGGTAGATTCCTGCTTTCAAGACCTCAAGGACAGCAGGTATCAAAAGACTTTAAGGCCAACTTCTGAAAACTGTGGGTCATATAACTGAATGAATGTGGATTCCTTAAAAATTTGGCATGACTAAAAGGTTTCTTAAAATGCAGTCACTAAAAATTATTTCATAATTAAACACAAATGACTCTGAAGTGTTCTAGCAGCATGTCCCAATTTTGTCTTGTGACTTCACTGCAGCCTTGGTTCTGAACATACTGTAGGCACAGTTCACACTGCCCAGGCCATCCTACCACCCAACATCAATACAATACAATACAATACAATACAATACAATACAATACAATACAATACAATACAATACAATACAATACAAGCTGCCCGAAACTCTTTGGCTTAGACTATTGTGTGCCTTGAATTGCAGTGATTTTACTGTATATGTAAGTATTCTGCTCTTGTGGAGACTTAATGTTTTAATTATGACAAAAACCTAATATTTTCTCAGCAGGTAAATATCAAATTAGTATATCTCTGGAATCTAGTGTGTTGAGTCTTTGATTTTAAAAATTGCTATTTGAGGTGCTGAGTTTCATTAAAAAATCATTAAGTGACTTTTGTTTTGGGATTAAGACAATTTCCAACCATTTCTGAAATGACCATAAAAATATTTTTGCCATTTTATACTATGTATTTGTGCAGAGCGGTGTTCTCAACATTGATAGTTGTAAAATCAAAATATCAATCAACTCTGAAAATATTAAAGGTGCTGTGTCCTGCATTATCAAATACTCAACCAAGATTTAATTGTTGCTATAAAAAAATACATTCATCTCATTAGATGAAAAATTTGCTTTCAGTTTTAGTAAATGGCAAATTATATATATACACCAAAGAAGTGTTTTTAAAAGTTTTTTTTTTCTTCAGTTTTTCAAGACATGGTTCTCTGTGTAACAGCCTTGACTGTCCTGAAACTCTCTTTGCAGACCAGGCTACCCTCAAACTCACAGAGATCAGCCTGCCTCCCCAAGTGCTGGGATTAAAGATGTGTGCCACTAGAGTCTGTTCAACCAGTTAACCTAATCTGGTTTATTAACCCCAGTGGATGAAAACAATGTAACTGGCAAAAATATGGTATAGTCTATTAAAGAATATAGAAACATTAACATTTTCATAAAGACTCTGAAATTAAAGTATTATATTTTTAAGAATGTTAAAGAATTATATGTTAAATACTACTTAGTGAAATGTAACTGTGCTAAAGTGTTTTCTATTAACTTGAAAATGATTGTGCCAAGATGCTTAATTCTCGTCTGTTTGGAAGAAAGAAAGGAAGGACAGGTGAGGCTAAGGGTCTGAGGGGGAGACTTTAGGGGCAAAGCTGTAAGAAACAAAACTCTGTTACTGTGCCACTGTCCTTGAGAGCAGGAGATGAGCACAGGATTTGTTAAAGACTCTAACTGTTGGTCATGTTGCTGAAATTCCTCAGCCTGGTTGCCCACAGTGGAACCATAGCCAACCTCTTCCACCCTCCAAGCCCTGTGTACACAGGGGATTGAAGACGATGGCTCATCCCCTGAAATTCCTTTCCAACCCAAGCAGCTCCAGTAGGAGCAGTTTTAAATGATGCTATTGAAGTAGATACTCATTTCTGTGGTATCATAGTGGTACTTTAAGATGTTAGATTTTTTTTTAAATTTTGTGTCTCTAGACAGCTAAGAAAATTAATATATCACTGTAGATTTTGTCTCATAGGCATACTAATATTTAAGTAATTCATATGATTACTAAAATGTTAGAGAAGTAACAGAAAGTGGAGAAGTATGTATTCTATGTGACTTTTTAAGTTACTAAATATGATAAGACTAATTTAGAGGATTCTAAAGTAAAAAAAATAATATTGAAAAGTTAAAAATGAATAGATAAAGGTTTAGGGGATATTTTTCAATATGTAGTTATATTTAAAAATGAACACATTTGAATAATTACCCACAATATAATCATTTTAATCTCTCCCGAGAGTTTTTCTTGTAATCTTTAGTTCTTTAAATGTTGTGATGTAGGTTTCTTTGCTTCAGCTATGTTTTGTAAGTTGCTCCTGTGATTAGCTAGCCACTGGTATCATGGTGTTTTCAGGCTGGTGGAGGAGACTTTGACCGTGGATGAGGTTTCAGACGTGCTCAACGGGCTGCAGGCTGTGGTGCACAGTGAAGTAGAATCCGAGCTCATCAACACAGCTTACACCAACGTCCTGCTTCTGCGGCAGCTGTTCTCACAAGCTGAGAAGTGGTACCTAAAGCTACAGACAGACGTCTCCGAACTGGAGAACAGGTAAAATTTGTACCTGCAGTTGAGAGATAGAGGCCCTACTATGAGCTTAAAAGTTAGCAAATTACTTTGCTAGTGCTTTCCTGGCCTGGGGTGTGAGGCACTGTGGGTAGGGTAGCAGCAAGGTACAGTCACTAGATGATTCCTTGAGGAGCACTCAGAGTCCTCCCTAAGATACTCCGTTTCCACTGCTAACAGTAGAAACCACTCCAAGGAACTGGTTTTCAATCTCAAGTAATTATTCCTTAGAGCATCTTTAGTAGCATGATTAATATTACAGTGGTCTTGATACATAGATCTGCTAGGAAGTAAACATTAGAACAGTTGAAGATATATTAGAGTATCATTTCCATCTATTCAGCCTAATAGCATTGCAGATTTCTTTCTAGATAACTACATTTGAAACCATACACTTACCTTAGGAATATAAACTATAAAAGGCTTAGAAGTGTTACAATATTGAAAAGCTCATAAATTCAAAACCTCTAGTAAGATTAGTGAAGTTGAAGCTGGTTCTAAGAAATAACATGCCAGTTGGGCGTTACGGTTCACACCTTTTTTTTTTTTTTTTTTTTTTTGGTTTGGTTTTTCGAGACAGGGTTTCTCTGTATAGCCCTGGCTGTCCTGGAACTCACTCTGTAGACCAGGCTGGCCTCGAACTCAGAAATCTGCCTGCCTCTGCCTCCCAAGTGCTGGGATTAAAGGCCTGCACCACCACTGCCCGGCACGGTTCACACCTTTAATTTCAGTGTTTGAGACTGTTTGGGCTATACACTAAGACCCTGTCTCAAAAACACAAACACAAGCAAAAAAACATGCCAGAAATCAAGAAGGACTCACTGCTAAGCCCTGGAAATTGTTTTCCAGTCTCTCCTCAAGTGGGAACTGATGAGCAATGCAGTACAGCCGTCAAGGAGGGAAGACGTTGGTTGGCTTCTGCGGCTCTCAGTGTCTCAGTAGGTGACTGGGAAGGCACTAAGTGCTGACGTTTGAAGAAGATAGAAGAATGGTCTGTGCGCAGGAGCACGGTCCACATATGTGTGTTGGTAGATCATCGGGGGCTTGTTCACACCACTGTCTCTCATGGAATATGCTAGTATTCTCTCTCAGCAGCTACTGTGGACTAATTCATATCCAAGAAAACTCTATTACAAATCAGGTGACAGTGAATATTATATAATAGAGAAATCATGCTGTACAGAAATAGAGAGAAATGCAAATGTCATTCATATATGTATTGGCATAGCTGTTTATGTCTTTCTACACATATCATATACATACCAAGTACAAAGCACCAAGAGCTGTAGATGACTCGAGCTGGTTTACAGGGCTGTGAGATTCTCAACCATTTGTAATTAAATATCAGTTTTGTACCCTCTTACGCTCATCTCCCTAGCATGTGATAGCTTGGTTCTTGTGATTTTTTTTTTATTCTTTTGTGTGCTAGAAGTCTATTCTCAATGAATATTCTCTTAAATTAGCTTTTATTTTTCAGAGATTTATTAGAACAAGTTGCTGAATTTGAAAAGGCAGAATTTGCATCTTCAAATAAAAAGGTAGTTTTAAGTATTTCTAAGTCTATTTGTTTTTACACGTGTGGTTATGCATATGTGTGTATGCCTGTTTGCATATGTGTGGGTGCACATGTGTACAGCTGTCTATGCACGTGTGTGTGTGTGCATGTATATGGAGGCCAGGTTAATGCTGAGTGTCTTCTTCTTTGATCACTTTCCACTTTATTTACTGAGGCAGACTTTTACTAAATTCAGAGGTCACCAATTCATCCAGGGTCACTAGGAATTCCTTGTCTCTGCCTGTTGAGTCCAGAGATTACAGGTAGGTCACCACACCTACCTGCTTTGTGTGTGAGTACTGAGACTCCAGTGTAAATCCTCACATACGTGTGGTCTGTGCTTTCTCCACTGAGCACTGAGGCATTTCCTTAGTTTCCGTATTTCTCAGTAGCTGGCACCTGGAATCCGCATAGTGTGGCTCTAGCGGAGCTGAGAGCGAGACACTCAAGGGAGATGTTCAGGCTGGGAGCGGGGCCTAAACTGCCACTCACGATTGCCGACAGCTCTCTCCTCCTCCTCCTCCTCCTCCTCCTCCTCCTCCTCCTCCTCCTCCTCCTCCTCCTCCTCCTCTTCCTTCTCTTTCTTCTTCCCCTCCCTCTCTTTCTCTCTCTGTCTCTCTCTCTCTGTCTTTCTCTCTCTCTGTCTCCCCCCTCCCCCTCCCCCCGCCCCACAGTCCAGTCTCAATACCTTGTAAACCCTTCGTTCAGCTGATACAGAGCATCTACTTTTTGGTGATCAGACCTGTTATATCCTGACTTTGCTTCTTAGCTGTGTACAACAGACAGGTTACCCACGACAGCAGGTAGGGACATCCTAGTAGACTTTCTGAACAATTATGTGCTGTGATGTCACTTACTAGATACACTTTAAATCATAACTTGTTCCCCGTCAGATAGCTAAACATTGCTGAGATGAATCCATATATAAATACACAGAAAACATTTTCTAATAACTCTTTTGGAGCATATTTCTCACTAAAAAATTTTGGGTCAGAGGGCATAGGGTATTACTTTTAAGACATGCTACTAAAATGCCCAAATATTTGTGCTAAGTTCTTATTCGCTTGTCATTCCTCAGCCATTACAGATTCATGGTCTGAAGATCATGCAGAAAGCATTTTCAGTTGCCACAGTCCTAGAGGCTAGATACCTTATCAAGTCTGACGACAAGCCCTTGTCTCTCTTTCCCATCTGTGCTAGTGAAAGGGTGCAGGAGGTTGGGTTTCATTTTTCTCTCTGTCATACAGTGAGCTTCCTAGGGCACATCCTAGGCACTGGACATAACAGAAGGAACACAACTGGAATCACTACCGTGGTAGAGCATTAGTCCTGGTGGGTGTGTTTATAGATTATTTCTTCCAGTTAGGAAGTGTAAACATTTCACGATGATTCCTGCTTTACTCTGTGGTAATTTTAGATTGGTCTCTTCATTTTGTTGCAGCCCATCATAGATCTCACAAAGCCTAAACTTGTTCCAATTAATGAAGGGGGAACAACAGAGCTCCTGAACAAGGTAATATCCTCATCAGTGTGAGAAACAGGAAAATCCCATTCCTAACCAATGCTAGGGTAAGAGAAACAGTCTGTCACAGTTTTACTGATGGAACCCAGTGACCAGAAGAGGGCATGCTTGCTTTGTAGAATCTGAAGTGACTGATGGATCTTTTCATAGTAAAGTACATGGAATTTCACAGGACAGAGCACGAAATTTCGAACTGTGTTTTCTGGTCTGCATTTGAAATGTGTGATATACAGTAATATATAGGTTATTTTTAATGCTTATAGAAATTATCAGCATAAAAAATAAATATTTTCCCAGCTCCCATATTCTTGGCAGTATACATGTCAATATTGTTATAGATAAAAAGCATTGCAGTACCTAGTACACTCTCGAAACTGTTATTATTTCATTGGGAAGTAGGAACTAAAATTTCCAGGAGCAGAGATGAGAGAACTAAAGGGTTCTCTGGATGTCATAATGTAATAGAGAAGACAGAGCTCCGGGTGGATGTGAGGAGAGAAGAACGGGGGCTTGAATGAGGTAGCCTCTAAGCTGGGCCTTACAGATGCAGACAGGTTAAGTTAACAGAGCCTGTTAGGTAGGAGAGCAGAATGGCTCCTGGCCAGAGGCAGACAGAAGATTGGTATGTCTTAGAATAACAGAGTGCAGTGTGTATGGGAGTAAAATGCAAAATCACACTGGTCAGGTGGGTTCATCTCCTATCAAAACTGCTTAAGGACAAACAAAGGGGTTTGGCCACAGCTCAGAGCCGTTCGGGAGCTTGAACACTAGGTACTAAAATGATGACGGTAGTGTGGCCAAGAACAGGCCCAAGTTTCAGGATTAGAAAGCTAGGTGAGAGATGGCAGGCAAGGAGAATGGCTGAAAACAAAACAAAAGGAGAAAGGGTGTTTCTGAGAGAAAATAACTGTAAGTCTTAGAGCTAAGCTTGACTCACGGCTGTGGGGTTCAGGCAGGCTTTGGAAAGTAGGATTTTACTCCTATCCAAGGCATTTGGAGTTTTGAGCCACTGCATAATTTTGATTATTTTTTAAGGGAAACAAACAGTGATATCACTTCATGTTAAACACATTTTGGTTAAAATAATAAAATTTGGGGGCTGGAGAGAGGGCTCAGTGGTTAAGAGCACTTGCTACTCTTGTGGGAAACCCAGGCTGAGTTCCCAGCCGCTGTAACTCCAGTCCATGAGGGTGTCTGATGCCCTCAGCTGGCGTCCACTGGCACACATGTTATATACATACATATAGGCAAAACATTCATATGCATAAAATAAATAAATCTTTAAAATAATAATAACATTTGGATTTATTCACAAAGGAAATTTTACGACTTCAACAAGAGAATGAGAAACTAAAGTCAAGACTGAAGACCATTGAAGTACAGGTAACTAAGGAATCCTTTAACACAGTTATTGAGGAGTTAGCCTAGAGAATATAAGTTGAGTGTACTGTGTTTACATTTGATTATAGGCTGTAAATGCTCTGGATGAGAAGTCAAAATTGGAAAGAGTACTTCAAGATTTACAGCTCGATCAAGGAAATCAACAGGTAAAACAATTTAGCTATTTTTCCACATCTAAAGAGAATAAAATTAGAAACTTTGGTCATATCACTGTTTCTCATAGTCTGTCTACTTTGTCATTCTCTGCTGCATGCTCTGCTGTCTTATATTGGCTCAGAAACTCTATCCTTTGCCCATCTTCCAGGGAGCATCCACAGCTTACAGGACTAGCTTCTCAACTTTATAGGTTTTAAGAGCAGGCAGGATGTTCTCAAGTTTATTATTAAGGAAGTAAAGGACAAATTTACATTCAGGTTTTATTATTCTGCATGTTACTTGAGTTTTCCTTGACTGTAGTGACAGTGAGAGGAATAATGGGTTGTGGCTTCATTTGTATTCAGTGTACTGTAGGGTAGTGACCTCCAATCAGTTATGCCTTCATTTGTATCTAGTATGCTGTAGGAAACAGTGACAATCCAGAGTGCCAGTTCCACAAGCCTACCTGAGAATAATAGCTGAGTATTCCTCTACCTGCTGGGAGTCCATTAGTGTATCATTGGCTCTCCTGTCGTCCTCTAACTGAATGTGATGCAATATTGTGATTTTATATGAGCAAAGAGATTCAGATGAACATTTAGTGCAGAACTGTCTTTTCTATGGTTGTTATTGTAAATGTCTGCTATAGAATCCCAAAAGTTACCTCTATGTTTTTTTCCAGTTCTAACATATCTACCTTCTTGTGGAATGGGTATTGTGCCCAGAGCCTATACATGCTAGGCCAGTGCTCTTATACTGAGCTGTATTTCCAGACTTTATTAGGTTTTTTTGTTAATCTTTATGAAAAAAAATTCAAGTATGCAAAAATACAGAGAGTGGTATAATGAGCCCCAAGGAACCCACTACTCAGCTTTACAGTCACCAGGCATGGCCAATCAACCTACTGCTCAGCTTTACAGTCACCAGGCATGGCCAATCAACCCACTGCTCAGCTTTACAGTCACCAGGCATGGCCAATCAACCTACTACTCAGCTTTACAGTCACCAGGCATGGCCAGTCAACCCACTGCTCAGCTTTACAGTCACCAGGCATGGCCAGTCAACTTTCTTTCCTCCTTCTTTCTTCCTTTCATCTGTGTCTTTTTTAAGCAAGTCTCAGACATTATTTTATCTGCAGATACTTTGTGGCTAGAGGAAAAAGTATTTCATTCATATATGTATATATGTGTGTGTATATGTACATATGTGTGTGCGTATATATGTGTGTGTATACATATACATCATATACATATGGTGAATGTTCCAGAAAAACTTTATAACTTCTCAAAAGTTAAACAGTTACAAACATTTTTGGGTAATGAATTTATTTAAAAGCCATTTGGAGTTCTGCTTCAAGTTTACTATTTGATAAAAAAGCAAAGTGGATACATGCCTTTACTAGTTAAAAGATCTTGTTTAGAGACTAAATATTTTTAAAAATTAACTACTGTTTCATTTTGTTGAAGACACTGCTTCATCCTCATATTGAACAAGTGTAGGCCATTTTCCTGTTATAGCAATTCAGATCTTTTTTTCCCCTGTAACTTTTACCAGTCAAAAGCAAGATCCAGATGTAAGATATGTACTGCAGTTGTCAAATTATAAAGAAGTACGTATAACTCAACAGAAAAAAAATTAAAACCCTTGTCAATTTAGAAACTCTTATACTCATTATTAGTAATAGTCTCCATAGTTTCCTGACTGGTAACAAGAACATGCCTATTAAATTTTTATATAAATGTGACTAATTGTCGGGTGGTAGTGGCACACGCCTTTAATCCCAGCACTTGGGAGGCAGAGGCAGGCAGATTTCTTAGTTCGAGGCCAGCCTGGTCTACAGAGTGAGTTCCAGGACAGCCAGGGCTATACAGAGAAGAAACTTTGTCTCGAAAAACCAAAAAAAATAAATAAATAAATAAAAATAAATAAATAAATGTGACTAATCTTATTTTTATACCTATACTATTTGGTTTTTTTGAGAGAAAAGCCTCACTGTTTCCAGCTTAGTTTTAAACCTGTTATGCATAGTCCACCTATATATCAGTTTGAATAATTCAAAATCTTTACTATGTTTTCACATTTTTTCCCTTATCCAAAATTCTTTTTTTGTTTGACTTTTAATTGAAAAAGTCCAGATAGTATATTCGATCATGTTTTCTCTTCTAATTCCTCCCAAGTCTACCTCACTCACTCAACTTTGTTATCTTTCTCTCTTTCAAAGCAAAAAAGAAACATACATACAAAAAAATGACTTTGTAAATAAATAAAATAACCAATAAAAATAAAGACTCACAAAACACAAAAGGAAAAATCAAAATAACAGTAAAACAAAAAAATGCCAAAACTAAGGGAAATGAAACAAAAAATATCATAGAATTGATTTTGTTTTAGGCAATTCCTCCTAGGCTTGGCGTCTGCCCTGAAGTGGATGGTTGAGGCATGCAGCAGGGCTCCATTAGAGAAAACTGATTTTCCCTTTGCCAGAGAGTATCAATTACAGGTTCCTTCTTGGTTCAGAGTCAGATCCCACGTCCAGTTCCCCCTCCTTGCTGAGACTCTGCCTGCCTTGAACCTGGACACGTCTTATGTATGATGCCGCAGTTTCCGTGACTTCATGCGTGTATCGGACCTGTTGTGCTTGGAGTCCTTCCTCACCTCCCGCTCTTACAGGCTGTCTCCCTCTTCTTCTACATGACTCTCTGGACTTAAGGGGAGGGTTTTGATGAAAATATCTCATTTGGGACTGACTGCTCCAAAGTCTCTTTCTCTGGATATCGTCCAGTTGTGGATCTCTGTTAATTCCCATCTACTGTGAGAAAAAGCTTCTCCGATGTAGACTGAATGAGGCACTTACCAGTGGGTCCAGCAGTACGTCATTAGGAGTGATGTTATTGCTGTGTTCCTTCAACAGAATAACAGTACTGGATCTCCCTGGGCCTGTGATCTCGCTAGTCTCATGTCCTTGGACACTTTAGCAGTGTCTAGTATGGGCTCCGTCTCATGGAGTGGGCCTTACTAATCAAACAGAGGTTGGTTACTCCTGTAACCTCTGTGTGACCGCTGCACCTGTATGTTTGCAAGCAGGTCACTGTTGGAGGTCACAGGGTTTGGAGCCGGGTGGCAGTGATGGTTATCTTTCTCCTCTAGTAGAATGCAGAGTACTTCCCAGCATTCGTTAGGCACTGGCTCGGCTTCTCCGTGTTCAGTGACATAAGTCAGTCTCACCACTTGGTGATGGCATAAGATGTCTAGTTGGGGCATTTTCTTCCCTATTATTTGGTGACTTCATTTATATTTTTTTCGTATATGTATATATATTTAGGACAGTTTATAGTAGTAGGTTTCCATGTAGGTTTTCAAATGGCCTTTAATGTTAGTTGTCCCAGCCCATATTCCTTCCCTGTTTAATCCTCCTAATCTAGCTTCCCTTTTTCTCTCCATACTACTACAGTCTACTTCCCCTTCTTTGGGAGATCCTCGTTTCCCCAGTAGTCCCTTACTAGGTACCTAACCTCTGATTATTTTTAATTATAGCACAGACACCAAGTTTAAAAGCTTCATCCACATATGAAAGAAAGCATACAATGTCTTTTAGGGTCTAGATTATCTTTACTCAGGATGACTTTTTTTTCTAGTTCTACCCATTTACCTGAGTTTCATAATTTCATTTTTCTTAAAGCTGAATAATATTCCATTATGTAAATTTACATTTTCATTATACGTTCATCAGGGGATGGACATGTAAGCTGTTTCCATTTTCTGCTGTCACGAGTAGAGCAGCAGTGTGCATGGATGAGCAAGTATCCGTGTAGTAGGATGTAGATTCCTTTGAGTGTTTGCCCAAGAGCAGTACAGCTGGAGCTTGAGATAGATCTATTTCCAACTTCCTAAAGACCCACTACACTGATGTTCATAGTGGCTGTACAAATTTGCACTCCCACTGGCAGTCAATAAGTATTCCCAATCTTTCCCAGCAAGTGATGCCATTTGTTTTACTGATTTTGGCCATTCTTACTGGAGTAAGATGAAACCCTCAAGGAATTTTAATTTGTAGTTCTTTAAGTATGATGAACATTTCTCAGTCATTTGTGTTTCAACTTTTGAGAACTCTCTGCTTAGTTGTGTACCTCATTTTAAAAATTGGGTTAGTTGTTTTCTTGATCAGGTTTTTTTTTTGGTTTTTTTTTTTTTTTTTTTAGTTCTTTAAATATTTTGAATACTAATTCTCTGTTAGTGTATAATTGATAAGTCTTTTCCTGTTCTATAGCCTGTCATTTTGTACAAATGATAGGTCCTTTGCCATATAGAAGCTTTTCAGTTTCATGAGGTCCCATTTGTTAATTGTTGGTCTTAGTGCCTGTGCTATGGGTGTTTTGCTCAGAAAGTCTCTTCTTGCCAGTGGGTTCAAGCCTACTCCTTGCTTACTTCTATCAGACTCCGTGTATCTGGCCTTAGGTTGAGGCCCTTGATCCTTTTGGGGTTGAGTGTATATTAGATTGGTAAGTATGGATCTATTTGCATTCTTCTGCATGCAGCTATCAAGTTTGACAAGCAACATTTGTTGATGATGCTTTTTTTTCTTAAATGTATGTTTTTTAATTTCTTTGTCAAAAGTCAAGTGTCCATAGATATGTAGATCAATATGTCTATTGTCATACCATGCTATCTTTATTGTTATAGTTCTGTAATAAACTTAAAATCTGAGATAGTGATATATCTAAGAGTTTTTTTTATTATTCAAGATTGTTTTAGCTATCCTAGTGTGTGCATGTGTGCATGCACGTGTGTGATGCCGTTCTCATAGGGGTTACATTGAATCTGTAGATTGTTTTTGGTAGGATAGCCATTTTCACACTGTTAGTCCTGCCAATCCATGAGTATTGGAGTTCTTTCTATCTTCTGGTGTCTGGTTATTCAATATTTTTATTCAGTGACCTAAAGTTTTTATTATATAAGTCTTTTACTTGCTGAATTAGAGCTATCATAAGATAGTTTATTTTTTGAGACTGTT